TCATGCTTCTGCCCCTCCCCTCTTCTGTAACTTGGCAATAACAATACCTGTCTCACAAGGTTAATGTAAAGGATTAATTCACTATCATAGCAAATGGCTGTAATCTTTTCAACCAAAGCCTACAGGATAAAACTATATTCACAGACTTTATTTTATTTAATCTTTCCTACACAATGCCAAGATATTTGTTTTATTCCCCTCCCTGTTAAGTGGTAAGAAATGCAAGTTCTGCATGTGGGTCAGGACAAGCCCCTGGCTCGGCAGGGACTGGGTCTGGCTGCCTGCCCAACTGTCCTGCCAAGGGACTTGTGGTTGGGGCTCACAACAGCTCCCATTTATTGTCACCAACGTTGGGCTGCTCTAAGGAGGAATCTGGCCAGCAGACTGAGGGAGGTTGCTCTGTCCGTCTCCAGTAAAGACAGTGCATCACCCACACTGATTTTGGGATTCAAGGAGAATGATGAGAGTGTCAGTGGGATACAACGCTGGTCATGGCCAGGGTCAACAGCTGTGAGGAAGTGGAGAGCTTGTTAGCCACCAGCACCCATGGGAAGGGGAGCTATAAAAGCTCCTTCCAGACAAATACCCTGTGGCTTAGTCTCAGAATAAAATTGCAGCACATCCGTCAGTACTTGCACAGATAAAGTCATGTGCAGTGTACCAAAATGCTAACAAACTGTAGCTGTCTTAGCTACCTTGTGGGTCATGTCTCAGTCTTTGTTGTTTTCCACATGTGTTTCTGAGAAATACATTTTCTATTTGTATCCATAAATTCTTGTGCACTTCTCAATACACAACAATATAAATAGTTTAAGAGTATAGTAAATGTTTTAGAGCAATGTGCATGGGGCAAGTTTCTGTTGTCTACCTTCCTGAATAACAACCTGCCAGCAAACTAGTAGAGCATAATATGTTGCCTTTGTTTAGCTGAACTCTGCTGCATTTATAATCCAGATCTATTAAAAACATCAACAAAAGGAAGGATTTTTTTTTCCATTACCATAAATGTTAAATGTCTTCCAGCTATTCTTATAAGAAAATTTCTTTTGTAATCAGCTCATTGACTTAAAATTGGAGCATTATGTTCATTACAGTGAACAGTGTGAAGTTGCAAAATTTGACTCTTTTACTTGAGCAGTTTTTTAGTTTTAAGTTCAATACTGTGGGTTATTTTCCTGTGGTTTTAGTCTATTTCAAATCTAAGTATCTAATGTTCACATTTAATTATGATTGAAACGATGTTTCTAGTGTAATGCAGTGCAAATCCCTTTCCTTTGTTCAGTTTTATTGTCTCTTTTGACTTTGTTATTCACAGCCAGCAAGATATGCATATATATCTTCCTTGTCACAAGCATCCCAAAATTTACAAGTGAAACAAGACGTGCTGAACATTCTTGAGTGATGATAAATGTGTTAGCAAACTGTTAAACTGCCTCCATAGAACTGTGTATCTGTTGAAATAATCAAAATAAAGGAAAACATTATATAAGAAAGAAACATTTAAAAAAAGGCTGTTCAAGCTTGGCAAAGAATGCCAAACACCTGTGGTATTTCACATATTTTTTATCAGCAATGAAAAAAGAATCCAGATTTCGTCAACTTACAAGTCTTTGGAAAAAAGTTAATTACCATATGCTCAGGAAAGACATTTCCTTTCTTAACACCTACAAATGGAATTTTTTTTCTCACTCAATATCCTCCATCCCCCTCAGGCCCCAAAGACCTGACCTTTCTTGCTGTGCAGCACCTCCTCAGCATACGTGAGATGTTCCAGCTCCTGGTGTTGAGCTGGCTGCACACACGTCGCATTCCTGATTCACACACCTAAGGGAAAGCTCTAGCTTCTTTATACTGATTAACTTAGATAATTGCCTTAGGACAGTTTGAAGCCAAGCAACAGATTTAAATACCAAATGTGGAATCAGAAGTAGCTGTCTGTCTGGCCAAGGAGCTTGAAGCTCTTGTTTCTATGCATTGCCTAGTTCAGTCCAACTTAGAATAGAGTCACATAGAATAAAGTGAATCACATACAAGCTCCTTCAGCATTGATTGATCATGGGATGCTGTGGAAGGCGACTGCCTTTTCTTTGTTCCCAGTGTTTTCTGTCTACTTTTATACAGAGCAAAGAAGAAAGCTAACTCTTTGGAATTCAGAAAGGAAAAAAACCTAGGGCAGATATGAGGGAAGAAGCTCTAAAAAAGTCTGAGATGAAAACTTGACTAGACCATGAAATGAGGACTGGCTAAAAACCACAAAGTTCTGTGAGGCAGGGCTTGAACAATGTTTTCTTGACAATCAGGGATTCCAGTGGGAACCCTGAGAGCTGGTGAGAAGGTGGGACTAAAGCAGATGGGTGTCAACGAATGGGTTTTATGGTTTCCATGATCATCTATAGTTGGACCTACTGTGAGAAAAGGGATTGATAAGGACAAACCTGGAACTGGCTACACAAAATGTAGGAAAAGGAGTGGGGTGGGGAGACACAGCTTGAGTAAAACAAATCACAGCAAGAGAGCAAAGCCTGCTCTTATTAGGCTAATTGATTACTAAAAGTGGATGCTGTCTGTGCCACCCTGTATGCTACAGTGGGTTTAAACTAACATTGTACAAGTGATCAGTAATTGTGTTTGTTACTCTTTTGGACATGCAATAAATTAATCTAGTCTGGTTTAAGAAATGTTTCAGATGAAATTTGTGCTCTAAACATACTAAGTGCTGTAGAGCACCTAACTAAATGGGTATCAACCTGATAATCTACAATGAGTGTAAATTTGTATTTAATATGCTGCTTCAGTCTTTTCTCCAGAAAGCAGTCTTAGTCTTTCCTCTTCCAAGTGATGTTGTGAGGAAACTTAATGTACAGATGCAGAGGGTCCAGTAAGCCCAGCATATATGGGTCTGGAGGGCAAGAGAGTGCTTATTTCCATTACTAAAACAACAGATTAGTTGCAAAAAAAAGTATTATAAGTTTGGAGACACAAACTGATAGTAGCTTCCTCAGAACTAAATCAGTTTTTACCCTGCAGGCTTCTCTGTTTTTATTCAGCTGCATCAGGCGATCTAATAAAACAGACTGTTTTCTTCTACAAACTTTGACTTGGTTATATTTCAGAAGTATGTGGTTCTTACATATATATACACGCACACTTCTGATAAACAGGTCATAATATAGTGAAATTTTAATGTATTTTTATGCATAGTAAATAGAAGGGGGAATTATTTTTTTTTTTTAAATGATCTTTTGGTTTCACTTGAGTGATCAAGGAGTTTATGTCAGTAATGGAAGATGTTGTTATGGTTTGATTTGGACTATTGATTACTATATCAGCGGATTCTGAGTGATTAAATCTCATCTTTTCATCCCTCACTGAAGAATTCTTCAAATGGAGCAGCCCAGGCTCTGTTTTCTAGAATTTGGTTCTGGTATAATCTGGGCTTTGTTGTCAGTGGATGCTGTTTTACCTTGGTGTCTACTGGTAGAGGGAAACAGTCCTTATATACGTTTTGAACATTTCCTTTTGGCTGTCTTCAGGCTTCTGTGTGCACAGGTGTCATGGTTTTGGACAGCCTTAGGAAGGCAAAACTGCAGAGGGAGAAGTTGTCAACCTTTGTTTTTTGAGTTCTACTGTGAGGAACCAGTTGCTTGATATTTGGTGTTGCATGCTTTGGTTTGTTTGTTGGATTCTTGCTTTGTTGGCTGTGTAACTTGGTCTCATGTTAGATCTTGTGCTACTTTTGACATATATGTTTTTGCTCTTCAATAAGTTGGGAAGCTTTTTAAAACAACAAATGTAAGTATTAAGAGTCAGAATATACCTGAAGTTACCATTTCTAATCATCATTCTGGTATCCACATGTGAAAATATTGCACTTCCTAAAGGTCAAACATAAAAGCCAAAAGAAGGTTGTACATACTGGGTTCTTCAGCTGTGTTCTTCAAATATAGCAGCAGGCTGAGGCTGGGTGAAACTGCAGTGAATTGCTGTGTTCAGCATTTCCTGTGTACAGCATCAGATTTGTACACACCTTAGCATCTTTGATCTGGCAAGAAGTCTTTTGAATGTATCATTAAATGTCTTGTCAAAGAGTAACGAGAACTCTATCAGTATTAGATTAAATGCCTAATTATATGCAAGCTAAGACCCTTGTTGTGAAAAGCAGCTGAGCTTCCAGACAAGTTCACCTCACTGTTGCACAGAACTTAGCTGGGCTGTGAGAGCTGCAAGCTGACACGAGTAGAGAAGTGAAGCAGAGTCTGTCTGGGATGACAAGCTGCAACAGGTCTTCCTCTGTAACATCCCCACTCTGACAGCCCAGCAGGATTTTGGGAGGAGGGATATAGATACTCCATACCATGAGTCTGTACCTAGAAAGCATCACTTGCTCAGCCAGGGTTGCTGAAGGAGAGACAATTTGACCAACATCATGAGATATTTGTTAAACCAGAAGTTGACATGTGCTGATACTGGGTGTGACTACCCGTTTATGCAGAAGTGCCAGTATAAAATAATGTAATTATATAACAAATTACGTTTTAAAGTGGTCTCGCCTGCACTCTGATATTACAGCCTTATAGACTGGATTTTTGTGTTTGGCAGTAAAGCTGGATACTTTTGCAAAAATGTGTGTCTCCTGAAGGTGTCTGATACTGGAAAATTCTGGCTTCTGTTGGAATTTAGTGTTTGTTTTCAAGCTGGCTGGCAAATACATGGTTCATGTGTATTCACAAACCTGTTTGTGAAGTTTATGTATTACACATGGCTAAAGAGGAGGTGCTGAGAGTGTACAAATTTCCCAGGGGAACAGAGCACTAGGACTGAGCCTTCCCACTTGTGGGAGCACAGATGCTGGGTGTCTAGGCTCATTTTCTTCATCCCTCGGCACTGATACTGTCATGCAGTACAAATCCAACCTGTAATGAACTGGGTATATATTTTTTAAAACAAAGTAATATGTAATAGAAATGCTTTTAACATGGTGTTTTCAAATGTTTACTTAGGGAATATTACATCACCATGGTGAAATGGGTGAGCAACACCAAGGCTGTGGTGAGATGGTTAAACAGACCTCAGAACATCTCCATCCTGACGGTTTGTGAAACCACAACCGGGGCTTGCAGCAGGGTAAGTTGGATTTTTTCCTGAGCTCTATTTCCAAAGTTTCTTCCTGCATTTTATTTCCTATTCAGAAAAACAGTTTTTTAGAAATCAGTTTGCAGATGCAGTAGTTGCAAGCTGAATATAATTAGTCAACAGAGAGGAAATGGATGTGAGGAAATTCCAAATCTGGTGAAATGCTTTCATGCAATTAGCAACTTTGAGTGACATTTTCAGAATTACTAAGCTTTGTTCATTCATTAACTTCAGTGGAAACTGCAGTTGCTGAACATTGGTGTACTTTGGATGTAGCTAGTGTAGTGACAAGCTTGTCCTCTGTCAGATACTTTCAGCTGCCTGCTTTCTTCTCTCTCCATCTACAGAGTTTTATTTCAGGTCTTTCTGTCTCTCACAGTTCACCTGTGTTTAAGGAAAGGGTGTTAAATTCTGATAATTCCTGCAAGCTAGATAGAATTAAGTACTTCAAAGAACGATAAAATTGAAAGACAACAGAGATATTTAATTTTGAATATAAGCCAAGCTGAAATACATTTTTCTATTTGAATCCAGCCACATCTCATCCCTTGACGCAGACTATGACTTCTGACATCACTGCATTACATCTCTCCATTTTCACAGTCAATCTTACATCTTGAGTGCAGTTGGCCACCTTCCCATTCTGAGTCACTATCTCTTCCCAGAACCACAATATTTTCTCTACACGCTAATATCAGTACCAACAGATGTTCCAATGTGGAGTGTACAATTTGGCAGTGTAAATGGTTATGAGTGATTAATGTAGGTCTAAGTTTGGCCTCTGAGTCAAAAGGCTCCCATCAGTGTCTGCTACTCGAGTCAGTCATGTTAGCATTAGGGATTATTTCTGAGCTTGTCTGCTTCTTTTGCTACATAGGGCAGGTTGCTTTTCCTGACTCAGAAACTGCTCATAAATCCCCAGACTATGGGTTAAGAATGTGAACATGGAGATTTGTTGATTGGGTTGCTTTTTACCTGGTTCCTGCAAGCCCTGTGCCCTTTTATTTAGAAAGTTGGTCATGAACCACTGTGAGCAGTCGCTTCTGAAAGGCAACTCTTATGTCCTCTGAGGTTAATGGACCTGTCTGAAGTAGATGTCCAAGGAGCTGTAATCCAGGATGTGATGTAAAAGAGAGATAGATTGAGATCTCCCCTCCAGAAGAAGTAAAGTGCAGCAAACGACATATTTAGGTGGATGAGGGAGGATGGTGATGCAGTGTCAGCATAGTGAGCCCGGCTCAGACCAGGCTCGTGCTGGTAACCCTGGGTAGTGCCTGTGCTGCGTCCACTGGGCTACAGTGATGCTCTTGTATTCAGTAATGGATGAAGAAAGGCCTTGTGGTGAGAATTTAACCTTGTATCACATTATTTGATTTCAACTGTGAACATTTTAAATTGTATGTATTTTTTAGCATTTTGCACATGTTCTCAGTTCCAAAAAGTACTTGTCCTGGTTCCGTGTAAAAAGGGGTTCAGGGCAGGACCCACACGGAACAGAACTATGTACTCGCCTCTCCCCCACCCCCTCGAGAGAGAGAGAGACACTTTTAAAAAAAATGAAGTATATTGTTCAACAAGGAACAGAAAACGAAAAAGGGAAGTAAGGAAAATAATATATATAAAGATCAGGGGAATAATACAAAAGATAAAATATACAAAACCCTCAGAAATGGTTCCAGGGTCCCATGGAGTGAAAGGAGAACTTTCCTCTCCGAGCTCCAAGGCAGGAGTGAAACAAGAAACCACTCCCTGCCTCTTATCAGAGTGTGTGTGGGAAGGGGAGGGAATACAATGGTTTCACCCCCACCCGGGGTCCTCCCAGTTGCTGGAAGGTCACGCCCCCATTCCAAGACTCAAACCACAACAGTACTGTATAAAACCGGCTGCTGTAGTAGCTACAGCATACATTTTTCAGGCCATATACATACAAATGCTTCTATAGCTAATAAATTGTCATGACTTCACTGTGACTGGCAATTTACAACAGTTGATGTATATTCTATATTTTGTGCATGGTATTTTGTTTTTTAGATAGTGTGAGCTACAATATAAGCGTGACCAATAAAAAACAACTATTTATCTTTTTTTTTGTCTCTTCACTAATGCCACAGTATGACCCATTAAAGCAAGGGATTGTGATTTGAGAAGGTCTCACAATTTGATCTTGATGCTGGCTGTTTGCCCAGTGTTGATGAAGGACTTAAATATCCAGTTGTCAGATGATGCCTAGAGGTAAAAAACAAATAGAACTGCCTGCGTAAAGCTTCTTGATAGCTAATGAGAAAGGACTGAAAAAGACATTCTTAGGTCCCCTGTGGTGTTCTACCAAAAAACTCTGAATAAACCAGCTGACTTCGTAATTAAATTATCATTTGTTTCAATGTAAGTGCCAATGAAAAGATGTGATGATGGTAAGGCAACAGAAAGAAAGCACAAAATGGCTAGAGAACTTTTGCTGAATGTGGGAAATATTTTTGATCTATGGCTGTTCCATAAAAGCATTTTTTTTCTTTTTTAGAAGTATGAAATGCAGTCAGACCTGTGGCTTCCTAAACAGGTATAGTATAAATGCTGTTTCTGGGTGTATGTTTAATGGCTTCATTGTCATTATTAATTAATTACATGATATTTTATAAGCTATTAAGAACCATTCCTTTTAGAACTGAATACTTTTTAGCATCCTAAATTATTTTGCCATCTGAGTATTATAGCAGTGTCTGTGTAAAGATTCAGATGACAGCTTGTTTCCCTGGTAGCAGGAATCTTTTCATTTAGTATCACTCAGAGGATGTTTTGCTATCTAGCTGACCATGTCAGTGGTGGAATGAGATACTTCCAGTGAGCAATTCAGCCCTTCCAACTGAGACACCTCTCCAGGTTTCAGAGGCAATGTTCTCTTCAATGTAGGAAGAGTTCTCTCTGCGTTCAGTCAAGTAAGCACTTAGATGACCAGCTGATTAACTACCTAGCTCTTGGATGGTTAAAGACAGATCAGACAAATCCCATTCCAAGCATCTTCTCTGTACTGTGCTTATTTTTTTTTTTCTGATTAATTTTCACCAAATTAAATGTGAAGGTGTTCAAAGATGAGAGGTCAGACAGGCTATCATTGGAATGCATAAGAGTAGGATTTCTAAATTCATACCCAGAACAATATGTTGAACCAGTATGTCAGCAAATTATTCCATTTTCATAGTTTCAGAAGAGCTGTCCAATAAGTAGATGAAAAACATTCTGTTTTAAATACATTTCAGGCTTTGTTTTGCAATGTGCAAATGAGAAATCATTTTTTTTAAAGCTATGCTTTTATAGCAAACCATTTTCCCCCAATATTTCTGTGTAAAGGTAGATATGGAGAGGTGGTGTTGCATCAGGCTGCAATTTATGGTGAGACCATGATTTATAATATCACTTCAATGTACTTATTTTTTCTATGTAACTTTATCAAAAACAGCTTTAAGCATATACTTAGTGATGTTTTCTCAGTCCAGGCCATGGAAACATTTGTTCTCATCACTAGTAGATCACGAGATCTTTCTCCAATTTTCTTATAAGCACAGTAGCTACCAAAAACAAGGACACAAAAAGCCTAAGCTGATTTTTTCATTAAGAAATGTAATGGAAAGTGTTACAAACTAACGCAATCTTACATTTATAGAATGAAGAACCAGTTTTCTCCAAGGATGGCAGTAAATTCTTCATGACTGTCCCAGTGAAGCAGGGAGGCCGGGGTGAATTTCACCACATAGCCATGTTTATTGTTCAGGTGAGGTTTTGGTTCAGGCTGTTTTTAATATCCTAGCAGTCATCTAGGACTTTTACTGTGGGTACATGACCCAAGCCAAGTCTTGCACTTCAGTAGAGTCTGAACATTTGTGCCATGGTTATCTGTCCTGTCCAGGTTGTCACTAGTTGCAGAGGGATATATTTATAACTCCCTCCGTAGTAAGTGGTGCTCTCTGTCTTTTCTTACACCTCCACTGTGGGGGAACTTCAGGTCTGTAAATGAAATTTACTTCTGAAGTACTCTCTGGAAGTCTTCCTGTTTTCTTCCTACCACTATAGACAAGCAGAGATGTTTTCCTGTTAAACCTTTCTGTCAATAATAATGTTTTATACCAGCAGAAATTCAGAAGACCTGCAGCAAATTTTACCCTCTTTATTAACACTGTATAGACACAGGTATAAACTTAAATGTCAATTCAGAATATTTGGAATCTGGTCTTACAACAGTAAAAGGAGACAATACCCAAAACTTAAAATGTTGTGAAAATTAGGACTCTTTCATTACCTGTTGCAGCATTTTCCAGTGGGTTACATTTCCTAGGATCATTACTTTTTTCCAGAGAAGAATCTGAAAGAAGTTTGATTTGCACTATGACTGAAGGTCATCAGTATGAAGTTATGATGAACTAATAAAGGAAATTATGCCCTGGAATAGAACACTCCAAGGCATCTATTTAAATCAGCAGAGCATTAATCCAGGTACTTTAGGAGAGCCATATGACATAGGAGGGATTATCAAGGTACCCTAAACATCAAAATAGACTTGGCACCAGGCAACTCTATTATCTCCCTTTATGACAGTGTTCTGGTATAAACATTATTAAGTCTGAAATATGTTCACAGTGTACTGCAGACAGAACAAAAGAGCTTTAATGAAAATTTAACCTGAAGAAGCAAGAACAAGATACTCATTCACTAGAGTAAATACATCAAGAAAGAATTAGAGAAGAAAAAGGGGATCGAAGACATGTCAGATTCTATCTTCTAGAAAAAGCAGTAACTCAGATGACAGTCTGGTAAAGGTGTTTTAATGCAGTAACCACAGAAAAAATTCACACTGGAGCAAAGTCATTTAGTCAGTCAAGTCTTATTTTGGTTTCTTTTCCAATATGTCCTTAAAATAGATGGAATAATGATGTAGATATGAAAATTAACTTAAACCTGTAGGCTCTTTTCACCACTAAAAACCTAAGAAACTTCATCTTAATTCAGGAAAATATTTCAACAAGAGATTAAGCCCGCTCCGATTCAGTAAGATACGTATTACTTTTAAATACATGTTTGAATCCCACCAGAATAATGTTTAAAGTCAAGTTCATGATAAAGAGTTTATTATTTTATCCCTATTAGGCAGAATTAGGGCCCAGGGTACTGCACAGCTCCAAAAATCAAAAATACTTCTATTTTTACCACCATCACCATGAATAAACAAGACTGAATGGTATCATCCATGGCAAATTTGGCTTTAAATGTATAGCTTCTCCTGAGAAGAAGAAGAAATGTGATAAGCCATGTATCAACCGTTATTCATCAATAAGAAACATTCTGCGTGGTAATGAGGCTGATACAGAGCAATAAAGGACAGGAAATGTGTTTATATGATGTGTTTTACACACTGCATTAATCTGATTGTCCATTATTTCTAAAGCAAACATGGAGGCATAAAAACTATATTATCCATTGCACATAAAGTCTTATGTCACATCAGATGTTTGTCACACATTGTGGGAGCCACAGCAGCATAACAGGTGCCCTGTAGAATTTAAAGCAGGTTGCTGGTACCAAGATGATCACAGGTTTTTTTTGTGATGGAACTTGGGTAACACTGATATTTAGCATTCAGATTCTCATTACCTCTCTGTACTACTCAGTACAGATATCAACTCATTAAGAGAAATCAGCATCCAAGTGCAGGAAGGTTAAAACAGGGAACCAATGTGAACGTATAGTGACAAAGTAGTAAATTTTAATGGATCTCTTTAGATTAATCACAGAGGCTTATTTGCTAATCCTACAAGTGCTGACAACTGATTGTCTTCCCTGAGCTGCATTTCCTTGACTGTACTTTAGAAAAGCATGTGTCAATGATAGAATCAGAGCAAGTTAGCAGAAACATCTAATTAAATCTTCTTACAATGGGACATTACTGTGTAAAGGGTTACTATCTATTGTATAGTATTCACTGTCTGAATGTAAAGGGCTAGATATGTGTTTCATTGTTTTCAAGTTTTTAGTAAATTACAAAATATTTAAAATAAACGTATCTCAAAATGGGATTGAATCATGTGTTATGTGTCTAGAAATTTCTCACATGGGGCTTTGCAACTCTAGAAAGTCTCTTTTTCCAACCACAAAATAAGAATTATAAAATAAGTTTAATGGATCAAGGTAAGAACTTCCTGCAGGCTTCATAAATTATGTATTAGGGCTGCAACCTTGAAAAATAACCGTATTTATTAACGCTTGACTGGGCTTTTTATTGCTGTTTCTTGTTAGATTCTGTGATCACAATATTTAAATATCTCTTTCAATAGTTGCAGCTTCTCTCTCTAGAGAAGAAATAGTCACTTACAAGAAGTCACTAATTTGTATTGTAATCATTCCTAGAGACAGCACTCAATATCAGAACCTTCCTTGAGCAGGGGAACCCTCTTGATAAACGTGTACCGCACTTAGCACAACATCCTGATTTCAGCTGGTACTTGCAAGACTTACCATGGAGTCATTACATCATTCTTTCCTTGTTAGAAAACAAATCAGTTCAAAGGGACTTGGTTTTGCTTTACTAGTTCCAGCCATGTCTCACAGGTGTCCTTGAGCATTTTCTGCTCTTGAGTTATTGCTGCTGTTGATCTAGAGCTCAAGAGTTTACAATGTACAGTTCAGAAATATAGGGATTAAAAATACTCTTTTCACCTTTATAGCTTTTTATAGGCCCCATAACCATTGCAATATAGGTATGAACCTGGTGCTCTGGATTCACAGGGCATGAGGCCAGAAAGCACTGTTAGATCCTCCATCTGATCTCCTTTGTAACTCCTGCTGCTCAGTTTCACCCACTAAAGCTGAAATATAAGCTGAAGTATCACTGCTTTTCTTTACAACAATTGCCTTAAATTTGAAAACTGGAATTTTTATATCCAGGCAAAGTGCCATAGCCCTAGTGCAGAAAAAAAACCTGTTCAAGTATTTTCATGTTTGGAGTTTTAATCTTTAGAAACCTAAGCAAGAATTTTACTTTTTGTACTAAGAAGGAGTCTCAAATGAGCTTCTCTTCGTGTTCCATTGTTTTTAACCTGTGTCTGATGAGGAGCTGTCTGCAGCTTCCAGCCAAAGAGTTTGGTATTATCTCAAGGTGCATTGGATGAAAAAGTGCTATCAATTTCTTTGAGAGAAGTGTTGGATTTCCCCTCGTAGCAGTTATTTTTCTAGGCTTGTACTGGGATAGACATAATATATGAGAGGGAGGAAGGAGTGCTCCCCAGCTTGTCAGAGTTCGGTTCCATTGCCAAAATTTAGAGCTATTCTTAGACTCTCCTTAGAGGCCATGGATACAAAGGGGCTTCTCCAGAATGTGTGGTGGGCTTTAACAAGGTTTACATCCTGTGAACTTCAGCATCTGGATTTGTACAGTGCATTTCTTTCAGAGGTTTGCCTGCCTCCTTGGGTGAGGATGGTGTTGGTGTCCTGGCTTGGCACAGCATCTTTGCAGTAGTTTTGGCTCAGCGTAAGCATGTGCTAAAGGTGAAAGCTTAGTGAGCACAGATTGGTGAGGAGTTTTGGTTCCAGGGATTTGACTCAGATTCCCCTGCTATGCTTTCCTTACTGTAAAGGAAAAGAAACACACAGAGAAACAAAATATGTGTAATGGCAAGATCTTGAGCTCAAAGTACAGCACTTTCTTGTTGGTATGTGGGCAACTGAAAGAAAAATTATGATGGAAACCAAGATGCAAGACTTTGAAAAGTTTATATATGGAAGAGAAAGGATATTTGAAGTTCAGGCCTGTCAAAATGTGACGTTTGTGATTTAAAGATGTTATGTTGCCTGTTAAAGTATAAAAAGCTGTAATCAGTAATGACATGTGCAGACAATCCTGCTAGGCAAAGGAAAATGTAAAAAGAAAGGTGAAAGTTAATGTTTTTCTATCTCTTTCCAGGCTAAAAGTGAACAAATTGGTGTGAGACACCTGACATCAGGAAACTGGGAGGTTATAAAAATCCTGGCATATGATGAAAATACTCAGAAGATGTAAGCACTGTTCTCTTTGTTTATGAAAATATCTGAATTATTAAAGTGGAATCCATTGGACTCTAAATAACATACCTAAATTTAAGCAACAATATTTCTTTCTTTTTTGGGCATTACTACAAATTTTACACTCCTGAGTACATAAAGTGCAGCTGTAAGACAATTTATTGACTAGTCTATTACTGCATATATTTTTAATGCAATGGGGAAAGGAGTGTACTGTGACATCAGATGGCTTACTGTTTTGGGGTTTTTTTTGTAAATAGAAGAAATCAACACACCATGCAGCAGTAATAATATTTTGGTGATTTCTTTTTTGAATTCCAGATAAGAAGTCATAGTAAATTTTTAGTACTTGATAAAATGCAAAATATTCAGTTTTCATGCTTGCTTGTTTATTGCATGAGGCCTCTGGACTTTGGGGATCTTTATGGGATTCAACTTCATAAATTCAAATTATATAGCGAGGTTTTCCAAACCCCTGATTCTCACTTAACTCATTCAGAGAGAAATCTTTCCAAAGCCTGTCTTAGTGCTGTAGTGAGAAGGAAATGCAGCACCTACGTGGTGATTTTTGGGAGCAGTACAAACTCACACAAACCACCTGAAGACTCCACATAACTTCAGTGGATCTTGGTTAGTCTTCACATATATCTGCACGTGGCAAAAAATACAGAGCTGTGTCTAATTCTGGTTTTCCTTAAAATAAATGATATTTCAGCAAGGAACTTCTTGAGGCTGCAACAGTTCCTGTCATCTCTGCTGATGCTGGAGAAACACCCTTTATGACCAGTCTTTCCATTGGTTTTGAAAGTACACCCATAGAGAATTTCTTCATACTTTTTCAAGGTTCAGATGAAAAGAATGAGGTGTGGATGAACTCAGCCTGCAGAAAAGTGGCAGGCTGCATGTGAGTTGTCTCAGCCACTTGGAGGACTTTCTTAACCTCCTTCTGCTTTTCAAGCAGAAACTTTGTGGGGATTTCATCTGGGACACACCAATGACTTGTTTCAGTGTTCTTGCAGCATCTCTAATAAGCCTCTTTCCACCACACAACTTTATAAATCATTGCCTAGGTGTGCTAGCTTTTCTCAATAGAAGAAAGAATTGTTCTAGAGCTCAAAAAGGCTTTTGGACATTATAAGGCCTATTGTAATTTATGATATCATTTCATTGTGGCCTTTTTCTACTCCTTGGATTTATATTGCAAACTATTGGAGTGAAGGAGAAGATTTCTATTTCTGTAATGTGCCGAAAGAGGTCCTGGCTGCTACTGGAGCTCCTGGGCAGAAATTAAACAGAAACCATTAAATACTGTTTTCATCACTGTTTTAATATGAAATCATACAGCATCTGAAGTAACTACTCTGAAAATTGGTCTAAGCTTAATCTTATAGCTTGGGTTTATACACAAATATTTGATCTTCATGTATATTTGGAAATTTTTTATTTAAAAAAAATGCTATTTATGACATCTCTCAGTTCTCTAAACACCACACAAATTAAACAGTTTACCAGGCTGACCTTGACTTTGTTCATCTTTTGGCACAGCTATTTCTTAAGCACTGAAGAATCCCCAAGAGGAAGACAGCTACATAGGTAAGAAGTACGTGGGGCTGTGTTAACAGGTTCTTCATTCCAAGCCATAAGTGTTATGATGACATTCTGAGCTTAATTACTGCTCTGGGGCCTGGGTAATCATTTATATTGTGTAAAAATTTGTACACTTGAGCTCTAACAGGGTTTTCAGTATTAAAAATGCTGATAATATTTTACATTGTGTGAAAAAATGGAGAAGATTTCAACACAAAATATGTTTACCATTTATGTGGTCTCTAGTCCTTTATAAGCATCTGAAAAGCTAATCCTAAATGCAAGCATGTAATATGACTGTTTTTTTAAAGTAGCAAAAATTTCTAAATTAAAAGAATATTTATGGGCTTTAATCATGCAATTTAAAATGTGTGGGTGAAGCACCTCCTCCTCAGACAAACCTCAGTGCTTAAATATTAGCTTAATGAGGTTTTTCATTATGTCGGACTTAACACTGTCACCCTGCAACACTGCTAGTTATTGGAACCTCAGTCCTGCTTTGGGCAGGTTTTGGATCCTCCCCACATTGCCCAGTTTACTGAACAGTAGTTCACTAGTTCATCTGAAGTTAAGGGACTGGAGCAAATTTTAGCTCTGTGATGAGCTAATTCTTGGTTTATTTTGATTCCAGTTGAAAATATTTTTTATCTTTTTCTCTAGTGTATCAACAGTGGGATCGTTGAATCGTCAGTGTCTTTCCTGCAACTTCTTGAAAGACCAGTGCACATACTTCAGTGCAAAGTTTAGCCCCATGAATAGGCATTTTTTACTGCACTGTAAAGGTAAGTCAAATGCACAGTGTGTAATAGTGCTCTGTTTGCTTCTGAATTAATATACTCCCCTGAGAAGTGCATTAGGCTGGAGTCTAACATTTGGCTCAGTAGTGGATTACTCAAAGTTCTGTACAGAGCTTATTGCAAGACTGTAAGTAAAGATGTTGTGTGTCAAAGCTAAACAACAAGTGATACCAGAAAGCTGCTCCAGTCCAAGCCCTTCAACTCCTTGCAAAGGACATTGACTTTTAAATTTTCCCTGAGTAAAGGTCCTTCACCAAAAAATGTGAAATGTATAGTGACAGTACTGTGGTTTTAACAGCTTCATTATATTTTGTGTGGGGATTGGTCTTGTGTAATTCTACCTAGTTAAAGAAAATGAGGGCCTGCTTTCTGTGACTCTGTCTGTAGGTGTGTGTACTTCTATGTGCACAGGATACACACACCCAGCCACATGTGTATGTGTGCACCTCCCAAAAAACAGGTATACTTTAGTCCACACAGACAGAGCCTGTTTGCCAACACAATTGCAATAAGTAACTTTTAGCTTTTTATTGTTAGCTGCATTCCACTAGCACTAAATGGCAGTAGTTTGGTTTAGAGTCTGTGTGTAAACAGAAAACTAGAACCGTCCCACACTGAGAAATTTGTAAGCTACACCCAGGAAAGAAACACTGATAAATAACTAAGATTATAAAAACAGGTTCAGAAATGCATTAGACAATCAGTAATAAGTGTATAGCTAGAGTTGTTGACCTTGAAACTTGCAGTATTTTGCAGACAACATTCTCCTAGTATTTTTGCTGAACTTGCATCAGGTTGAAAAGAGTAGAGCACAATTCATCTGAAATACATGTGAATAGTCCATTCTATTTCCATGTATTTTTTTTCTATTTCTTTTGCAGCTGAACCTTTTTTGCACAAAAATAAAACATCTGCTGCCTTAAAAATTGAATCTATTCAAACAAACAAACTATGAATATATATTGGCTAAAATAAGGTTGGTTTGTTGTGGGTTTGTTTTTTGGTTTTTGTTTTGTTTTGTTTTGTTTTGTTTTGTTTTGTTTTGTTTTGTTTTTGTGGAATTGCATCAATAATACATACCTGATTAGGGAGAAAAATACTGGCTCTATGTTTTAGACATGGTTAAAGCTGCACAGAATTTATGAAGCTAATCCTTAGGCCCTTATCTGAGTAAAGACTGCACTATTAGTGAGCTTCTCATGATGTAAGGAGAATTTTCCCTTTGTGTATGACAGTCCCTATGGAGAAAATCTCATATGCCTGCAAGAGGGAGAATTAGTAAACTGGTAAGAGTTTTTTTGCCTGGAATCAGCAATGTGCTAGGGCCCAAAAACATTGCTTCATGTTAGTGTAGCAAAGCATATTCAGCCTGTAATTTTTAAGGTGTTCCTTTGATATAAAAATGTGGATAAAGGTAGGAGATTGCACATGAAATCGCGCACAAGCTCATGACCTTCAGTGACTTTGAAGATGGCAGTTCTCTGTTTGAGCTGGTAAGACTGTAGATCATCCTTCTAGGATTAAACCTACACTCCACTGACTTGCAACCAGTAGACTGCCCTAAGCTGCAGGGTGTTGCACAGGGATGATAAAACACTGTCATTAAGTTTTTCCTATCTCTAATGTTAATATATAGTTGTCAGCTTGGGGTTATTCAGAGGTCTTCTCTTGTGTTTCATCAGAGCTTGACAATTACAGGAGCCATGTGGCCCACAGCTCTGCAAAATGGGGAGGGTTGGGTGTTTGGCAGTGTCAAAGTTGATAGCAACATCACAATAGAGGAGGAATTAAAGTTCTTCTATGGGGAGCTTCTTGTAAGAATAGAAGGTAAACTGCTTCAAGGAGACAGATGACACCACATCTACGTGCAAATACACTCATTTTCACACAACAGAAAGCCTTACTAAATTGTTAGAAAAGCAATTTGCCCAGAAAACTCCTTGGGAGACTCTGGAGTGGTTTGATCTATAGAAGTTTAAGTTCTTCCACCTCCTGTTTATCCATGAACACTTTTATTAGGATAGTTTTCCCTTTTTGGTTACCCTCAGCAAGGAGATGTATCTCAGTACAACAGCTGTATCCATCTCCAGAGATTCTCCTGAGTGAGGAGTTGTTTCTAGCCTGGTAGGTGGAGGACCAGTTTTATGACCTCGTAATTTTGGCAAGCACATTACATTCCACACTGCATGTGGGTTTTTCCTTTAGCACTTCATAAACACTAATGGATGTTAATCTCTCCACTCACATAAGATAATTCACAAAGGGAGTAATTGTTTTTCCTATTTTATACAGCAGGAAATAAGTTGTGGATTTAGTGATAGTTATAGGAGGTCAATGGGAAATCCAAATGCTGTGCTTAGTTCTGTAACACAAAGCCTGTAATGTAAATCTGTATTTCTCTTTTCTGATCAGTTTTTTAATCCACTGTAATCTCCCTTTTTCAGAATCTGTCATCTCCCTTCCATCTTTTAGTATGATAAGTAGAGCCAGCCTGGAAAATGCCAATGCTTTCCCCTCCAAAATATGGTCTTTATTAAATGGATATTCAAAGTAAACCAGCAAATTCAGAAGTAAAAAGAGCTGGAAAAAAGTAAAACAAAACAAAAGAAAAAGAGACAGCTGAAGAAATTATCTTTTTGAAGAGCTAAGGCAGAAAGCTTTGATTTGTCAGCAAACTACCTGTAAGATTTTTGTCAGTAGCTTCCCTTGAGGCAGAGAATGAAATTGATAAGAATCTTCAGTGGAGGCTGTCAGAGGCTGGGAATGGCATCATGCATTTTTTTTTAAGGTATTTAAGTTTCCCTAGGCTCATGCCATAATTAATTGGGAGAGACAACCTCTCAGGATGACTCAAAACAGATAAATTAAGCTCTGCCTCTGAACTGCTCTCAAAGGGAATATTTTTTTTCTCAAGAAAAAGGGAGTCTTAACTCCTAATTTCAGAGGGTCCATGCCTTCATCTTCCATGGAGTCCTCAGGGACTTCAGCTTTGCTGAATCATCCTTCCTAGCCCAAAAGTCACTGCCTGCATGGAATTTAAATTCTAGTCTCACCAAGATAAAACTTTCCTATGCACAAATTCCATGTTGGGGATGGAGATGCAACATTTTTTTTTAAGGAAGTTTACACTAGAGGGAGATCCTCAGAAGAGGGACAGCGAACTCAACTATACTTCTGAGCATGCTGAACGTTTGGCCTCCCCAGTTTCACATGCCACCTTGTGCATTTGCACAGCACCTACTGACATGGAGAATTATTCCCGGTGCTTTTAGTTTCTCTAGTAGTACAGTAAAAATACAGGATCTGACATTACCATGAAATAAGATTAGATTACATTACAGCTAGATTTAAGCATGATGCTGATGGTTTTGCAGAGCTGGCATACCAAAGGAGCTTCTTAAACAGATAATTAAGTGAAATATGTGATAATTTTACAACACCTCTCTAGCTTTTCCATAGAAAGTATATGTGAATATTGCCATTCATTCACTTCTCTGTTAATCTAAAGTTACTGTTTCTGAATGTCAAACTGCTGTATTTTAGACAGTAGTGTTAAGTGCCTCTGTAATATTTTATTCTTCACTCATAGCTAAAATATTGAAATTGTAAAAGAAAAAAAAAATACTCCTCCTGGTTGTGGGGGTCTGGACTGCCTGCTGAAGAAGCAGTCTCCATTTTATGCTTTGTCAGCACCATAGTCTAGCCTGTGTCCTTCCCAAAAGACACCAGTGGAGTTATGACTGTGTTTGAAGGGAAGGACATGTGCAGGGAGTCCAGGATCTGGTCTCACATGGTAGCCACTGCTCACATTCTTTGTTACTGAAATACTAGCTACCCCACACTTCATCACTTTTCTTCTCTCCTCAAAACAGGGCCAGGCGTTCCAGTTGTTAGTGTGCACAGCACAAGTAATGCTGCAAGTGAGTATTCGTTATGGAATAGGTGTATTTTATTATCATCCTTGATGGTTTTGGACAGTGGGGGGGAGGGGAAAGGGAGTTACAAGTAAATTAAAAGTAATAAGTGGCTCATTCATTTAAAGTTCTATTAATTACCTTTTAGCAACATCCACATCTGCAAATGGTAAGGAAAGAAGTTAATTAAATGACTGAAACTTTTGCAGGCTTTTCGGCTATGTTTTATGCTAAGTGCATATCGTTCTATTTACACTTAAGTTAATTAGATGGCAGGTTGGTCTTCATCCATTTCACTTTCTATGTAAATTATGCTGCCATTACAATATACCTTCTGTATTTCTAGAGATTTTTTTAAAGTCACAATCCCATTATCTTGAATTAAGTTACAGTCCTTGGACAATTGATCATAAAATCTGAGCTATGTATGATGAACTTAGTCCTTCTTTATTATTTCTCAAATCAGAGCAACCCCACTGACATTTTCAGTGATGGTGAATCCAAGAGTAAAGGCATTTTAGGAGAGTATCCAATATCTCTACTTTTCAAGTCTTACTGATTGTTTTCTGTATATTGACACAAAAGCTGTTGCTGCTTCCTTGCTGCTTGAGGTGCTCTGTAATGGAAAACTGGCCTTCAGCAGCAGAATTTTCCTCACTTAGATAGTTCTCTGGTGCAATGGAAGTAACAACTTTGCTACCTCCAACTCCACTGTGTCTCTGTGTAGCATGAAGGTGTGGATTAGAGGAAAAGAGACATCTTTCCATTCAAAAAGACTACACCAATCCTTACATATCCTTGTTTCATTCATTAGATTAGCCCTAGAATTTTTCCCTGAATCTGAAAGTCCTGACTTGTACTTGACTGCATCCCCTTTGCCCCTTTGTACTGGCCATGCCACTATTCAGCCATAATAGTGGACCTAATCTTGCATGTTCAAATAGCAAGCTGATCCAGAGTATTGTGTTATGAAGTGTTAATTAGTGTCTGCCCTTCAGCCTCCTTTTTTTTTTTTTTCACTTGCCACTGTTAGTATTTGCAAAGCTCAGTGCCATAGCACACCCCAAGGGGTGGGAGTTTGAGTCAGCTCTGTAAGGGGTAGCTACTTCTCAGACTAAATTCATGGACTTCTGTAGAGCTACCCAATTCCCTGAAGGTAGATTTTCACTTTTTATTACTTGGATCTAAAATACTGTTGATAGTGAATTATTGTAAAAGAGATTTACATAAAGCAAGTCAGGATACAGGGATGTTGTTTGTTGTACAAACAAGAAAACAAATAATGAGAGAGATAATTTACTGTTAATGTTTCAGTGGAAGATTAGATTATCCTCTTCAATTCATAAAAGAATGATTAAGGATTACTTCAATTATTCCATCTTCAAACTATAATTATACCATTTTGGTTTACTGCCCAGAACAAACATTCTCTTTAGATTATCTGTTTGGGCCCTAAGTGGAGGGTTTATTGTTTAATAAAAACAAAATCTATATTGTGGAAGCAAAAGCGGTAATTTGAGTAAAAAAGAAAATGAAAAAAACAACTAATTAATCATTCTTTCATGTGTAAAGTAATTGCTTCAGATCTGGTTGCTGCTTTAAAGTGAAGTGAAGTCTTGCTCTGGGTAGAAGTGCAGAAGACAGAGAAGGACATGCAGTGATGAAACAGAGCTGTGCTGGCTCAGTGTTGTCTTGGAATATGCAGCTTGAAGAGGATGCTTGCTTCAGGTTTAGGTTGTCGTCCCACAGACTTGCCTTTCCCTGGAGCAGCTGCTGTTAGTATTTGTCAGAGATAGTAGTATCCATGATGTTCATCAGTGATTTCATTGTTAGTGCTTAAAAAATCCAAAGCCTACTGAAGCCAGTAAAAGAGAAAAAAAAAAAAAAAACAAACGTGTATGTTTTGAATTAAGCTGATTGCTCGGTTCCTGAATTGCAAAGCAGCTGCATTATAAAAAAAAAGTATTTACAGAAGGAATTAATTTACAAGATTTATCGTTGCACATTTGTCTCTTTTTTTCTTTAATTTTTTTGAATATTGTTTTTCTCTGATGTGATAGTTCTCCCTACCTTTCAAATTGCTTTTTTGCTTTTCTTCCTGTTTTCTGCAGAGTTTTATATTTTGGAAGATAATGCTGTGTTGAAAGAGGTTGTTTTAAAAAAAAAGAATTTCAGGACTGAAATTAAAACGCTTCACATTGAGGATTACGGTAAATTTGGCAAAATATTATTTTACCAGACCAAAAGCTTTCTTAAAATGTTACTGTTTTTCATCTGTGTGACTACCAGTCTTTAATGTTTTGCTCTTTTCTTAAAAGAATTCCCTTTACAGTTGTCACTGCCAAAAGATTTCACGGATCGAAACCAGTATGCCCTTCTATTAATAATGTAAGTATCTGTGTAGAATCCCTCAAAATAATGAAAAATTCCTCTATAGAAAACATTTAATTTTAATTATTAATTTTCTTTTTATTTTTTTACCTTGTGTAGGAAAATTACCTCATGGGTTTGAGTTGATAAATCAAAGGGCTTGTTCTTGGGAAGATTTTGTTATAGGTGCTGTCTGGTAGAGATGCCTGAGTTTTTTGAGCATGTCAAATCTAGCTCTGCTTCACTGTGCTTTTATATATGTGAGGCACTGGCCCTTCTGAAGGTGTGAATGTGAGTACTTCTGCAGTCTCTCCTGGACCCATACTGATGCCTACCCACAGAGGTTCTCATTCAGAGCATGTGTTCCTTTTTATCCCTCATAGAAATGGGTAGAGCTTCTAAGAGGGGCTTGGTTAAGAAGTATAAAGCAAAACTGCTCTTAGGACCACTACAAAGAAGAAAAATTCTTTTTGAGCATCAATGGCTGAAGGCATTATAGGAATGATCCAAAGTTTGCTTACATTTGTTGAAAACTTCTACAGGAGGAAGGAGGTACTCCCTGCCAGCCTTCCCTGTTCTTTTAAAAAGAAATAGTGTGTGTATTTCTTTCAGAGACAGTCAGCCTCTGACCTGCATGTCTGCAGGATGTCTAGCAAAGGAAGAGAGCAGACATGAGCATCTCTGCAGCCTGCCTAGGAACACCAGGGCTGGCCAGCTCAGGGCACCATTCCTTGCCCTCCACCTGAGCTCAGCACGAGTCTGCCATGGGTGTACAAAGCTTTCGTGTACCTACAGATGTTCTTCCAGCCCCGTTTGGAAGGAATTGGTGTGAATTTCACTTACACAGGCGTAGGAGTACACTGCTAAATTCATGAAAATACCACATTAGCTGAGCTGTATTGCCTGGAGTAGACTTCCCCATAGTAACACCACAAATCCTTACTGCTGTACAATTTACAAGTGTGAGCGGCTGAGTGATCCCAAGTTCCTCTGCTCATATCAAATCAGCTTTAAGTGGCTCATGAACACTTTTTTCTTTTATTATGGAGAGCCAGGACACACGGATTATTTGATCTTTGCGGTGTTTGCTAGCATAATCTTGAAGTATGCTTATATTTTAAGCAGCTCTTTTAAGTATGCCAAAGACAAACTGACTCCGAATTGACACCAGCAGCATTACAGGGAGTTGCAAACACTTGTGCTTTCTTTTTTTCTATAAGCTAGAAAACACTGAGGTGTTACTGTAAAGCTTTCTTTTTAAGTATCCTAGTAAATGCATAATCTGCCATATACAGTTGTAGAATATGAGGCTATACACTCATGTAGAACCTAGAGAAGATGGGAGGGAAAAAAAAAACAGAAACCTTGAGAAGGCCATGGCCAAAAATGACAGGAAAAGGAAAAAAAAACCTAAGGGAATGAGATTCTGAAACATTTTTAAATATCAAGAGTTGAAACAACTGAGAACATTATAGAGTCAAGGTCTGAATTTCAACTTACCCAAGTTATAGGTACCTAGTGAGGGAATAATGTGGCCAAGTCATAATGTATGGTTATGTTTTATAATAAATTTTTTTAAAATTTTATTTGATGTGATGTGGGATAAAAAGGGCATTCATCCACGTATGAATAGAGGTTGTGGTGTCTACATTTGTAATATGGAGACTTGGCCTCTTTTTAGTCAAATCCCTACCTTTGCAATATTGAATTCTCAACACTAGCTTTAACAGGAGTTATTATTAGAAAACCCTAAACACTAATGAAGTTATGAATCTGAAAATCTGAAATCTATCCTGGTCACATAATGTGCATGTTTTGTGTCCTTCTCTTCCCTAGAAGAGAAAGAAGTTATATTTCTTCAGCAGCTTTGGTTGCCAGCAATCTTTTTTTTTTTTTTTTTTTTTTTTTTGAGTTAAAGGTGTCCCTAAATGAGATATAAAACTGAAAACTGTCACTGAAGTTATGGGACATTTCCCTGTGGGGTGATTATTTGAGCCTAATAAATTCTGCCTAGCTCTTGAGAAAGACTGATTGGAAGTCTGTGTGTGTGCAGAGGGTAATTTCTTGACCCACACAACTCGATATTGACATCTTAAGGTTTATTTCACTATCAGAAGTACTACTTTAAAAAAAAAAAAAAAAAGTTATTCAGGTCCAAGAAGAACATGTAACTTTTACAGGAAGCACTGATTAGTTGTATATATGGTATAATTTCCTAGATATTTGACTTACCTCTGTCCCAGAGTGGTGCTGTGGGGACTGTTTGAGAAACACCTTGTTCCTACTGCTAGGAACATTAGACAAGATTTGTATTAGTGGCTGATAACAAACGCTGCCTCTCATGTTGTTCAGCTGCACCTATTTTCCTGCTTACATTCTCAGCCATGATACAATTATCATGACATCCCAGCTATAGATAGTTTGACAGAGTGCTTACAAATGTTGGTATGTTGGTTTAATTCTATGTCCATTTCTTTGGAAAGGAGATTCTTGATCCAGGCAACATATATTTAGATGTATAGAGAGAGAAAACAGGTACCTGGAAAAGTGGAGAATTAGCAGGTATGAAGTGCCTTTTGCTTTCTATCTCAGTAGCACTTCAATTTGACAAGGACACAAGAAAAAAAAGTGAAGGGACAGAAGGAAAGAAGGAACGTGAGGAAAAGAGAATGTGGGTTTAAACTTGAAATTCACCTAATATGTCTCTGCTGTGCAAATTACATGCCTCATTAAGTGCATCTAGACCTTGTCCTCTAAGCTGGAAGGTAGATATGGCATATAAGGTCTAACGGGCTCTGACTGGCTGTTTGGCTGCAGTCAGTACTTCAGTCACTCCAAGCCTCTGGTGAAGATTTTCCGTGTGTCTTGCACTTTGCCAGGGTCTGGTTTGCTTGTGTGGACTTGCCTCTGCAGAATTTTTGTGTTGGTGGTTGTTTTTGTTGGCTCAGAATAAAGTGGGTTTTTGATGGCTGAGGTTCATAACGAATTTTCCTCAGCAGCAACTACCTCTGTGTGGTATTAATGTGCTCTCTAGATCAATAGGGTTACAGTTACAATAGCAGAATTTGGAAATAGATAAAGGGGAGGAAATTTGGTATTATTTGGTAATTTATTTTTCAAATCACTGAAAGCTTTTTTCAAAGGTCAATGACTTTAATAAGGCTCCTGTATTTCTGCAGGGATGCCTGCAGACAAATCTGAACTTCCAGCACATGGCACCCAGGTGTCTGAGTGTTGAGACTGAGTCCTGCAAAGGAGCCTATATCAGTGGATGCTGGTCCTGGTGTGAAACCTGAATGTGCACTCCATGTAGGCACAAGCTCAACCTAAGGACCAGCCCCTGAATATCCTGTAATCATCATAAGAATTTGGTGCAGATTCATTTGTTGACAGATGCAAAACATGCTGTAATGTTCAAATAGAAGATCATTGTATTGCTATGTTAAATTTTAATGTCCATCTGTATGGCTGAACTATCTAGCAGATAGGTCTCATGTAGAAACCAGTTATGTTGTTTAGCACCATTTTTCTTTCCAGAATTGTGATGCATAGGCCATAAAATGCTAAATAGATTATAATGCTCTCCTTTCTTCCGTTTGTTCTCCTAAACTACTAATACGTTTCACACTCAGTTTCCTTCTGATATAATACATATAATTTAGCTATAGATTAGAGAGGTGTGCAGTAATTGCCTGAAAGAGTGATTATCATCTCTTTTCTATATAATTAAGATCAAAGTTTAAATTTCAGTTCCTAGGTTTTCTCATTATGGTTCAACTTACTCATTAAAAAAGTTGGAAGATACACTCCTTGGTGACACACAGGAAATGATTAAGTAAAGACTCTGGCATTTAATCTGGGTAATAAAATGAGAGGTGATAATCATTCTTTATTTTTTTCTTGAACATAATTAACCTCATTCCTTCAAAATCTGTAGATAATGTATCTTAAATGTCAGCATTTATTATTTAACGCCATTTAAAATTGTCCAGTATGTAAGTGGGTTTTGTAGAATAGAATCAGTGGAGAAATTGTTCTGGTCTTTGAGGGGAAAAAAAAAAAACAAACAAACGATGGGCATTCTCCAAAGTAAGAGTGAATTGTCTCCAAGAAGTTTCTGTTTGTTTGTTTACTTGTTTTCTTATATTTTGGTAATAAATAGGAATCACTTTCCTATTACTGATGTGATGAAAGTTTAAGGCCTTGCACAGGCAAGCAATCCTGTTTGTGCCTTCAGTTAATACACTCTTGGGACTGATAGCAAGAGAAAATGGTAGGGTTGGAAGCGACGGTTTTCTTTTTACAGCTTGGAGAATAAGTCATTAAAAGACTAGAAGAGATGTGGAGAGGTATAATGCAAGTATTGGGAAATATTGGAGATCGGAGGTATGGTAACACTTTGCCTATTGATAGCTGTCTAGTGTACCTTTCATTTGCTCTAAAGGATGTTACTTGTTTTACCTGGCAGCTGTTGCAAGTGAAAGAACAATGCTTGGCTACCTGGTGAAGTGTAAAAACATGATGGATTCCACTACTTTGATTGCAATATGCTTGCAAGAGGGACATCCCTAAAGGCTGCCTTTTGTTTGGCAAGTTCTTCCTCTGTAATGCAGCAGCAAAATTTACTTTTTTGGGCATCCCTAAGTTGTGTATACAATTCACTAATTGCTCTGCAAGCCATCCATTTAACTGCTGTGTTCATCCTGCCTTTGCAGAGCATGGCAGTATTTCACTGCTCCGTTGGGTTTCTGTTAGGTCAAAATATTTGATGGAGAGTCTTTTCTTTTTGACTCTTTTAGATTTTCTTCTCCATTCTTTGAACTTTGTAATATTTCTCAAGACCTGGAGGGAGAATTCATTTAGCATATTCTTAAAGAGGGATAGACGGAGGCTCACTCCAGCTGTTCCATTTGCAGTAGTAGTCCTGGTGCTATGGGCTGTGATGGACCTGCTCACTCCTTTTCTCTTTGGTCTTGTCCCCATAAAAAGCCTGGGGAGCTGTTCAGCTAAGATCCATCCTCTTTCAGCCTTCCACACACCCACTTCCCCCACAGCAGTATCTACCTTACTATGTGAGTAAAATGCTCATCTAATCTTTAGAGAAAGATGAAACACGATTCAAAAGTTGACCTCCTTTTCTTGACACAGGACAGTGTTGAATCTCTTGTTTTCAAAACTGCATTTTAAAATTATTCAGCTTAAGGTTTTCAGAAATATATTTTAAGACTAACAATTTTATTTTTTGTACTATGCTGTCTACTTCAGTCCTATCACGTGATTCTGCCTTAGTAATGGAGTAGTTTCTGGTGATGTGTTTTAATTTGGCCACATCTGCAGAGAAGAGTTGTAAGCCCACTATCTGTTTTTCAGTTGCCATATCTAAACTTGTTGTATGAACAGATTAAAGACCTTTGGGATTTTTTTTGTCCTCAATGGTTGAGGCTATCCAGTTTCCTTGATTTTTGACCAGTAATGATAGGAGTCTTTGAAAGTTGATGCTTGTGAAAGAGATACTCATGAAATCCAAAAATGAAGTGAGTTCTTCTATTGCACCAGTTTTGCAAAATATTCTCCTTTCCCCACTCAGTTTCACCATAAGCAAAAGATTACTCTTGTCAATGATATTTCTTTGCATAAATTTTATTCTCTGAGTGGTAGTCTTTCTCATATATTTGCTATCAAGATTTTAGTCTCTGCATCAAATCCACTGTTTTGCAGGAATAGAAAGAGATGTACTGGAAAATAAGCAGTGCTGATAGCAGTTATTTTCCACATATCTTTTAAAATTGTCTACCTCCACTGCTTGGTCAGCCCTGTAACTTCTAAAAATCCTATTTAAAATCTTGCTACTTAGTTTTTAAATAGTGCAGAACCTGGAAGAAATTTTGCTGCAGAGGAGTGTTGCTCAGAATACAGCAGCAACAGCCTCTCTGGTCACGCTGTATTTTTCTCTGTAGGATGTTACTCCAGTTATGAACAGAGACTTCAGTTTAAGCTTTTGGTTACAGAATCTGAAAGAAGAGATTCTTTTCTTTACAGCAATACATAAACTTGCAATGAGCTGCCCCTTTTTCCAGACAGTCTGAGGTGTATGTGACTGCCTTGCAAGAAGCATACAAACTACCCACTAAGGTCAGTGATATTGCTGCATTATTGATGGCTTCTGTCCATTCAAATGGTACCTCAAGGGTGAACTTCAGCAGTATACCCGAGTCATCAGCTGTTGTACTACCACAGTGGACTCATAATCTGAGTGTAGTTGCTGTCGGAGATACACACGAGGCAGCTCTGAACCCTGCAAGTCAGGAGCAAGACTGAAAAAGGGAAAGTGCAAGTGCTGTCACTAACAAGGAAGAAAAATATTCAGGAAGAATTAGGCATAGTCTTGGTTTGAATCATTCTGCTGCTGTTTAACTCTGGAGCTGTTGCTCTTTAAAGAACCCTTGAGGGATGTTGAACAGCCTGTAGCTTCGTGTAGCCCTTCTGGTACTGGCTTCAATTTTGTTGTTGTGCTTTGGCTAGTCCATGGTTCCCTTATGGCCATCCATAGTCGGGTGGGAAGGAGAATTCTGTATTACACCTACACATAAATGCATGGACTTTCTTCCAGGCTTACTACTGGGTCAAGACATAATTCTGTGAAAAGAGTACCACTGCACAGTAGTTAATTACAATTAGACTGTAAGTGATGATGAACATAAACCAAAACCTGACATTTTAAATAGCTGTAATCCCAGGACAAACTTGACAAATCAGGCTGTGCATCTATTACTACACTGTAGTAACTAACTTGCTTTGTTACAGAGCCCTCAGGGTGATGTTCAAACTTGCATAAAGGATTAATACCTTGCAGAAGCCCCATTTAAAAGGTTAAAAGCGAGACCTAAATGGTGCATAGAATATATGCTGTCTCTCTGTGGAGGACAGAAGCACACCTCAGATAATCAGTATCATTTTATAGTAGCAGCTGAAGAGTAAAAAGACCTTTTGATGCTAATGGGAATTTTGATATGTACCTCAATGAAAGTGGCTTTAAATGCCAGTCACAGACTACTTATATGGACATTCCTGAAATAAATTAGCCACTGGAAAATTGCTTCCAAAAGCAATATGTCAAACAATCTATCATGCAGGAGTGGAAGATGTATAGTGTTTAAAGTCTGAGCCTGAAGTAGCCCACCTATGCCCTCCAGAGAAGGAGCCTGGGAAAACATTACTGTCACTTCTCCCTCACTGAGAACCTTGCTGAGGTTCTGTTGTTCCTTTTTTAATAGAAAAAAAAGTGTCTTTCACTTAAAACCCTTTTTTGGTTTTAAGCACTTCCTGATATAGAGGAAGGCTTGTAAATGTAACGATTCTTCCCCTATTCCCAAGTATATTCTTCCTATATATATGGCCTTTATATAACAAGTATAAAACAAATTTGAACACTGTATTTGTTTTGATCTCCTATTAGGAGGAGAGAAGCAGGCTGACTTATGGTATTTTGACTTGTGTGGGTCACATTAAACTGTTGGAAAGATACTTAGCCAAACAAGGATATTTCTGACGTTGTCTTATTGTGGAAAGTTGGAAGAACTTAAAATAATTATGACTGATCTAAGGCTGCTACTTTTGGAAGTGATGGTAAAAGCTCGGTGAAGTCATCTGTGTCAATGTACAGTGCTTCTGAAAACCTTGCTCTGTACAATAAGCAGAAATAGAATGAATTGTTCTGCTCCTGCTCTTGCTGTAAATACTAATGATAATGTACGTATGAATCGTGTGTTTTCAGCAGAGTTCACTTGACAATCACTATTTCTAAATTTATTTCTCTGTGTTGTTAGCAGTTAGCATAATCACAACTGAATTGGTTAAGCAACCAGAAAAAAAGCCATTCTTTTTATAAAGCAAAGTAGAAACCTGATGCACCAGATAATGTTGAATCAAGCATAACATGTTGTGCCTGGCTCTATAATCAAGTAATCCTGATTTCAATGCATGATACAGCAACCACATAGGTAGGTCTGAGTGAATTTCAGAACATACATATTCATCATATATTTGCTAATTGAGTGATTACCTTGAAGATGATCTGTTATCCAGAGTCAAAAGCAGATATTGAATTAGCACATTATCGTGCATATAAGAAAGTAGTTATTGTAGGAGTTTTTATCTCTCTTTCCTCCCCTCAGGCTTGTATAAGTCTCTTTGGCAAAATAATAATTCCTGTCTTCATCTTTCTTTCACCTTAGACAGGATATTCCCATAGATACTGTCCAATCTCATTTCCATACAGCCAGTGCAGACACTTTTACATTTTAATTTACATTCAACTGGCAGATGAAGCCTGCATAGAATTATTTTGCATTTGGTACAACTTCATGGTAGTCTGCTCTCTTATTCTGTGTTTATCTTGGGGGGAAAATAATGACAAGCTTCCCTTTTAAAACTGACATTTTATTTTCTTTAGAAGGAAAACAGTATATTTAGCTTCAATGGAAAATGCTTATTGTTCCTCTAGAAACTGTATTCCCCCATTCTATCCCACCTCTTTTGCTGTAAACCACCTTTTTTTTTAGTCATAAAATAAACTTATCACTCCTGCCTGCATCCATTTCCTGCTATGAACTTGGATGGGGAAAAATATCATTTTTTCCAGTGCGTATTTTAGTCTTCTTTATACCCTATTTCAAAAAATCCATTCAAGGATACAATAATGCCATTATTCTTGTTTTCTAAGATTACATCCTTCTTAATAGTATTATGTGTCCTACAAAATTATGATCAGGGTACTGAATGAATTTTCCTTTTTGTCTGTTTAGTGTGACTTAACAAAATCAGCATGAGCCTTCTCAGAACTGAGCTGGCTGGTAGTGATTATGTTATTTTCTTTTTCACTTTATTAACCTATCAGCAGCACTACGTGCTTTAATTTTCTGTTTCTTTCTGCAAAATATATTCTGGTGTTGGTAACGCTGCAACACAGTGGTTCTAAAGTTAAAGAAATTATTCTGCTTACTACTGCTGCAGGGGTGCCAGCAGTAGCTAATGTGATGGTATTGATGGAAGTGACAGTAATTCAGCAGGCTTGCATAACCGACTGAACTCTCCCATCTACGTTAAATAAAATATTGGCGAACGGCAAAGTGCAGCACATTGTCAATAGTCTTCGTTTGTGTCTGGTGTGTTGGTATTTGCAGTGATGAAGCTCCAGGCAGCCAGTTGGTTACAGATAAGTTTCACATTGACTGGGACTCAGTGCTTGTCAACTCTGATAATGTCATCGTAGCTCGATTCGATGGCAGAGGGAGTGGATTTCAAGGCCTTAAGATTCTACAGGAGGTCCACCGATGCTTAGGATCAGTGGAAGTGAAGGACCAAATAGCGGCCGTAGAGTACGTATGTGCAAACTTCTCTTCTTTTTTACCCTGCTTCCACCTTGATGAATGAGCATTTTTAACTGAAAATGACCAGAGTATTTTCTTTGCATAGTGGATACTGCTAATGTTTATTTTTAATAAGTTGTAAATTTTGAAACAATAATCTTTTCATTATAGACAGCAAATAGCAGATCAAAGAGGCATTTGCTTTTTGCATTGGTGCTTCTCTTTGATACAGCTAATTCACATTTGTCTCTATTCCTTAGGAAAATTTCTTACAGGGTACATGTCAATGTTTAACTTAATTCGTGTTACAATATTTTAGGCCTACAGAGTGGGATACTGCTCTCATTTCCACCACAAAGTTTTGGAGTAGTTGTACAAAGCAAATTGAGTTTTAATGGTGTAAATACAAAAAAATTGGGTAAATGCCTGTTATTTCTCATTTGCGTTATCATTCACAGACTGATGTAAATCCACCACCTGCAGAAAAGGGTGATTTCCATATGCACAGTGATTACACATGGCTTTGACAACACTCTTTACTCAGGGTACTCATGTCAAAATAGCTAATATCAAAGTCTGGATAGACTTTTTCTAGGGATTCTCAAGGAAAGACAGACTTTAAGCCAGATACTGTTGTGTTTTTCTTCTTTTGAAAGGTGCTTCAGCCATTGCATGAGTAGGGAACTGTCTCTGGCATGACATACCTGGGCAATAGGGCTTCTAATTGTTCACACTGGTCAGGCAGGGGCTGTACTGAGCAGAGCAATATCAGGTAACCCCTGTGAAAGGGCTGTCAGAACAGGCCGTACAGCTGTGCTGTGAAAACTCAGCTCTCTGCTCAAATACTGAGATGTTTTAGGCTAAATTACATTTGACCTCTTTTTGGATGCACTGCACTGCATCCAAAAAGAAAAGGAAAGGTGCCCTTGTCTGAGAGGAGGTACTGTGGCTGGTTTTGTCTCCTCAAAAGCAGTTCTATTTTGCCCTCAGGTTATTATCTTTACTGTGTAAAATTTACCATTGCTGATTAATGGCCTTGATGAGATAATTAATTATTTGGTTAATTACCTAGATTCAAGAAGTCACATTCATCTTACTTTCTTTCAGCTGTCAAAAAAATGGACACCTGGTCAAAACTAGTCAATTAAGCTCTAGTCAGTGGAAAATCCTGGCATTTCTGGAGTGTGATTCTCCCCAGACTGAGAAAAGTTTTCAGTGTGGGCTGGAAGGAATGTCTGTTTGAGGGTGTCTTTCTTTTTCTCCTTTAACTGAAGAGGAGATGCAAGGTGCTCAAATTCGGATATCTAAAGTTAGGTGAGATGAGCCCAACAACGATTTTTTTCCATATAGAGAAGGAATTAGAAAACAAATGACATTTTCTAACTCAATAATACTTCTATTGGTGTAACTTGTTCTATCCGGTATGCATATATGACGTTCCTTACTTTACAAATAATTTTCTTTACATACTAGATTCAACAAGTAGAATTCACCATTTTATTTTACTGAAGTTAAAAACACCTTTTTTTCTTTCAGATCACTATTGAAACAGCCCTTCGTTGATCCTAAGAGACTGAGTATATTTGGAAAGGTAATGTGCAAAAATCCCAGGATGTAGCATCATGATTTTTTTTAAAAAATAATTTCTATCAGTTCATAAACAAACATATTAATCTATTTTCCTAAGATAATTTCAGTTATTAAACTCTT